GGAGCAAGGACGCTACTAGGAACAAAGTGCATGGCTACTAGGAGCAAGGACGCTACTAGGGGCTCCTGGCCATACTACAAGGAGCAAGGACGCTACTAGTTGCTACTAGGAGCAAGGACGCTACTAGGGGCTCCTGGCCGTACTACTAGGAGCAAGGACGCTACTACGAACAAAGGGCATTGCTACTAGGAGCAAGGACGCTACTAGGAACAAAGGGCATTTCTACTAGGAGCAAGGACGCTACTAGGGGCTCCTGGCCGTACTACTAGGAACAGAGGGCATTGCTTGCAATGCACAATTGAACCGTTCCGTAAATCGGTGTTGGCACCTTTCCCTCTTGAATCCGCGCACTTGACTCAAAACTTTGCTCTCTATAGCGTTCTGGTGAAGGCATGTTTTGACATGGTGTGTTTCTTGCGGTTTTCTTTTTGGCATGTGAGACAAGACTCCATGTCTTTGATCGGATTGCGAGACTCTGTTGACAAATACGTTGACCAAACAAATTATCATCGTAGGCAGCAACTTGCATGCGCAAATATTTACTTTCTTTAAAGTTCGTCCACAAGACATTTATGACAAAACGTTTTCCTTTTGCAAAAATCATTGTTTTGCGTTCAATTTCAAAGCGCAGATACCAAAGTTTTTGCACGTGTTGCTTGGTGCCCCTTCGCCAGGGTTTGAAGACCTGCGGTCACGGCCTTCGCCTTGCATCTCAAGCGTCGATCCAGGTCATTTTCGGAGTTGATGATTTGCATGCATTTTCGCTGTTGCTTGTTTTAGTGACGTTCACGAGGTTTTGCTCGTTTGATTTGGTTTGATCTCGCTTGGTCTCGTTTGCAAGGTCGACAAAAACTTGTCCGAAGTCTTCCGGGATGTCAACGGCGTGTGGAATGCGCATGGACAGACTGCACCAGACTTGGAAAGAACGTTCTCCTACTCTCCCCGCTTTCTTGCTGGGAGGTGTAAAGAATAGCTTTTGATGAACAACTTCTATCGATAGAAGCATGCTGTTGGATAAGCATGCTGAGGTCGAGTCGCCTGTCGCCACCTCGGCACATGCGTCTGTGGCGACACACATGCGTCTGGCTACTCATCCGCAAGGATCCGTCAGCTGCTTTCACGCCCGATGTCGTCGAGGCCACGATGTTTTCATCGTGTTTTTTCTTGTTCCATTCTTCAAAACGTCCGTTCTTCTCTTTACAAAATGTTTAAGTTTATTCCATTCTTCAAAACACGTCTATTTCATGTTTTCCTCTCTTCCGAAACTTCAATCTCTTCTAAACGGTTCTTGCAGGCTCCGGCGGATTCATCCGCAGAGGACTTGAATCAGGTGGAGACAACCCCGATGTTCGGTTTGCCTCAAAGTACGACTGTGCAAAGCTCAGTCCATCTCAGTCCCCTCATGATAGAAATTCCCACAAAACGGACAGGAAGATACACAGGAAGCAAAAGAGACATCCAAGCAGGTTACGCAAGCGAACACACACGAAATCCCAGGCGCAGCCATCCAGATCCAGCTTGCGCAACACCAAGTTCATTGTGCAATTAGATATGTTATTGAGTTTGGAAACGACAAAACTGGACGGAGAGCATATTTCAGCGGGAAACCACATGTATATAATATATATATATATGACAATATATGTACATATGGCAGAGGGACCTCTAGCGTTCATTTCGCGCGCGAAGATAAAGACAGTACGTCGTTCAGATATTTGTTTGCATAGGGTGCTGTCTTATGCCGAAAAGTAAAAAAAGTACTTTACTTCGAGTGATCCCCACCATGACATTTCAATCTGACAATTTGTCTGGCATTATTGAAACATTGTTTCGGCATTCTTTCGGGCATATCTTCTGATTCGTGGTTGAGGTCCGGCAGGGAACACTGCCACGCGACCCTAACAGTTGAGGTCCGGCGGGGAACACTGCCAGCCGGAGCTCGTGGTTGAGCACGACGCGGCGGACGAGGAGGAGGACGACGAGGTCAGACGGCTGACATAAAATCTAACCCTCACCTGACAGGTGGGGGGCAAAACTGAAGTTGGCCAAATGCCTTCGTCTTTAGCAACTCCGTGGATGGGGAGCTCCACTCACGGACGACTGTGGCGACGGCAGATTTCCGGATCTCAACCGCCGCGCCAGATCGCGGATACGCCAGAAAGTAAAATGTTGCTTTTTCATACTGTAAGTCAATGTCGGCGCAATTAAACGCATGAACAGCTCCAATGTCCAGCCCCTTTTGCTCTTTCATGTTCTTGACTACCGCCACTATTTACAGAACTCAGATCAATAGAAAGATCGAAAGCATTGCTGTGGCACACCGGGTACAAAATTATAGTTTTGGCCGCAGTGGTTATAGCCTGCAATGTCCTATTTAGTTGAAGGCTTCTGTGGCTGATTGCTTGCTGGTGGTTCTCCTGCATTCTGGGTTTTCATGTGGCAAACAGGTCGTACATAACCAAACACGGACATATGCAAACCCAAGCCCAAACCAATTTTGGGGCTGACCCCTCGCTCGCCGACGGAAAAAAAACACGTATTTTGATGGTAGCGGGTGACGTTGGCTTGCTATTGGGGGGAGGCGCTGCGCCCTCTCTCCCTAACACTGCTGGTTTCTCAAGACGAGCCAAACCAAACAAACCAAAGGACTGTACTGGTCACCGCTTTAAACAAAAATTGTCCCACCTAAAAGAATAAATGTATCCTGCGGCAAATGTGTTTTGCCTAAATTGAGTTCATGCGGGGCTCTGGTTCAATCATCCCGATGTTAGAAAGAAACCACGTTTCATCTCGTCAGGCCAACTTTCGTGATTGCTTTATGCTTGGCCACTATCCTGATTCTGAGCAGCATGATAGGTTGGGTGGTCTCCCACTAGGGATGCAGAGCTTGGCCAAAAAGAATTTGTTCGCCAGATTCATGTTTGCTCGGTCAATGGAATGAGAATGGAACACTTGCAGAAACACAGTTGAAGAGCGATGCTCATTTCTTTCTTTCTGCAGATATCAAAGCTCAGTTGCTGACTTTCTAAATCAAAGCCCCAGCAGAAGATCGTCAGCGTACAACCCCAAGTTATCGCTATTGGTGAATTGCATATGTATAGAGAAAGACAGAGAGAAGAGATGGAATTTAAGAGAGAACGATTGGGCACCTTACAGCCACGTTTGCTTTCGCGTTGGCAAATTGTTTGTATTTGAGCCACGCAGACTGATTCGTTTCTTGGGGTCACATGAGTCAACATGAGTCACATCCTGTTCTCGAAGATGCCCTTCAAAGACCCCGACAGGACGAGAACGACGGAAGGGTTCCACAGGAACCATGTGTTTTTTCGAGAAGAATGGATCCGCCTCAGGCCGCACAGGAACGAGTCGTCAAGCAGGGAAAGTCATGTTTCTCCATGTCGTCCTTCTCATTCATGTGAAAATTCGGCCAATGTTTTAACACGTATTTAATTCGCCGTGTTGTTTCGGTCGCGCCATGGCCATCGATGCATGGCCGCTGTGGTGTGGCCGTTCTGGCCATGGCCGCCGCTTTGGCGTGTGGTTTCTGGCCATTTCGGACCACGACGATCACTCCACTTCACAAGACGAATTGGTCACACCAAGAGGCGGCGAAACATGGGTTGTTCCTCGGTGTCCGACGGTTCGGAGGAACCACTGGAGTCACAAGTGCGAGTTCAGGAAGAATCCAAAGGGCGTTGTTCTTCATTTTTTCTTATTTCCCTTTTCAAAATCAAACGGAGGCACTGGCATCGTCTTCGCTTCCGCATTCGGTGTCGGGAGCCTCAGAGAGAACCGATTTTGACGAATCGCTGCCAAACATAGACTTCACCGGTGGTAATTTCTTCAAAAGAAATCACGCGAGCACGAACAATATTTATGCACAGCATGACCCACACTCCAAAAGATTGCGCGTTACCATAAGCATTTGGCAGCGGCGCCCTGCAGCGGCCTGCAGCAACATCAACATGCAGGCTCTAAAGCTCAAGCTGCCATGGACATCTGGCAGCAAACTGCGGCTCAAAGCGCAGTCGACCACGCACATTCGGCACCCTGCAGCACCAGTTTTGACATACTTTGTTTATATGTTTTGGTTTAAACATGTTTCACTTCTCGGTGAAAAAAGCCCAAAATCGCAGGAGCAACTGGTCCGCGTGGATGGACACGTCACCCGAGACGGAGACCACGAGCGACAGCGCTTCCACGTCTTCCGGTTTTCCACCCGAAGCAGCGGCGGACTCCACGGTAACTAGAAGCGCCACTACTAGCGATGCACTTGTTACTACTAGCGTCCTTGTTACTACTAGTAAGGCACCTGTTACTAGTAGTAAGGCACCTGTTACTAGCTTCACCGGTTCCTCCATCGTTCCGGCTTCCACTTCGCACGACTTGGCCGTGGCCGTGGCCATCGTCGGAGGGGCTCGGTCACTGCTGTGGAATGCGGTGTGCAAAAACATCAAGGCGGGAACGTCGGAACGTCGGAACGTCGCGGAGAAGAAAAAGAGAAGAAGTGGAGAAGTCTGGTAGAAGTGAAGAAGAAAAAGACCGAGAAAAGGAGAAACTTGAAAAAATGGAGAAGTGGGTCAACCAGACAGAGACAGGATGTGCCGCTTTTCGGTGCACTATTCTTCATAGGGATTTCGAGCGTGACCACAAGGTGGACCCACAAAGTGGACCCACAAAGTGCCAGCAAGGCGGCACAGCAATCCGTGAAAAAAAGAGGAAAAAAAGGTTTGGAGGTCAAAAAAACCACGAGGAACGGCTGGTCAATGGCCTGGCGGCAGATGGGTGGAGGGTGGACGTCTTCCTCTTCCTGTTCCTTGGCGCCAAGTGGGGCATTGATGAAAGGAATTAAGAATAATAAGAAAAAATCACAAGCAGAAAAAGAGCCGCTTGGAGAAGAGAAAGCATACTTACCAAAGCTCTTTGGGGTGACGTCCCAAGCCAAAAGTGATGTGAAAAAGTTTCAACAAGTTTCAGTATTTTCTGAAGAGGCTTTGAATTGAATATAGATAGGGACTGCGAAGTACCTAGAGATCAACAAGGCTGGAAACATAAACATAAACCAGAGAAAGCAGAAACATTGTCTTTAAAATCCGCTTCTTTTGCACGGGGCGCAGAACGACCATGTGTTTTTTGCAAACTCCCTGTTGTAAACCCACATCGGGCGAGCACTGCAAACAGTAACATGATTCACTGGCACAATAGGTCAGATACTCATTATGCTTCTTTGTTACTTGCTTGTCCTAGATCTAGAGCTTCCTCCACTTGGCAAGCGGAAACCGAACAATCTTGCTCTCATTGCGTGACGTCACTGGCTGGACTGACAACGGAAGGGCTTTCCCGCTCACCCTGTGAGCTGGTCGCTTCCACACATGCGCGAGCTCAGTTTGGACAACCCTGGCCATGATCCTTCGCAAGAAACCCAGTGTCCGACTTCGGCCGTCAACCCGACGCAATCACTCCGCTCACCAACCAATGGCAGAACCTGTCGGGGGCGCCCGGAGTAAGCAACATTTGTACCGTACTCACGCACCAAGTTGCTGGTTCGCCGCTCTGAGCGATACGCAGCAATTCTGTGAGACAGCATCCAAAATGGAATGTGTAGAGGCGAAAATGAGGGAGTTCTGCAAGATGTCCCTGAAAAATGGAAGTTGTTGTGAAAGTGAAGCAATCTGCAAGGCGTCCTTCAGAAGGTGAGAAAACACAAAATGTTGCGCCTTCAAAACGAGACGATGAAACCGAGCTCCCAAGAATGCAACCGTCGAGCTCTGGGACGTCTGTGCCTTAGCTAGTAACAGGTGCCACGCTACTAGGAACAAGTCTTTACTAGTAGTAACAATTTGAATTAAATTAAATTAACATAGCTTCTTCTAACTAGTAAGGCACTTGTTATTACTA